CTTTATCTTATCAAGAGTCCTAGGGAAATAAAAAATAACTTCGAGGTATTTTTTTCCTTTCTTTAAACTTCTTCAAATTTTATCATCCTACACCTCAGGACTCAGATAGCTTTGAAGTTATTTTCTATTCAAGCAATCCAATTTCCACAAAGGATGGGAAGAACACACATGAAAAGCAAGCTTTGTAAACATAAATTTGGCTAACCAAGTTGTGTCGGTGATCCTAGTTTCAGCATCTTGCCTGAAGTTGCATATTTTGTCACTGCTACTTCCCTTTCTTGTCAATAGTAGTTGAAGAGGTCATATTCCTTTTGTTTCTTTCAGCGGCACTTGTAATCCATTGATTTAGGATGTTACAGAATTTGATAATATATTTACTAAGAATCAATGGATCATTCTTCTAACAATCTGAACATAACTTTCATCAAACATGTTATGTACAAAGGAATATGACTACAAAATGAGGATAGAAAAGTAACTACAGTTTCCGTGACCTCAAGGTTATGAGCCTTGCGAGCTATCAGATTGCTCTACCACAAGCGAAAGATAAGAACTGAAAACTAATAGATAAAAAGAATTAAATATTCCCCTCCACCCTATCAGTACAAATGGAATAACTCATTTATACAGAATGGTAAAAGGGCTACTATGATCATCAACAATAGAAATAGAACTAAAGTGTTAATTCTTACCTACTTGATCTTGTTGCTCCTGGTAACAAATATGCTGAACCATTTCAGCAAATATACACAGTAAACTAAAGAGGATGAGGTGATTGGTTCAGTGTAGTGGCAGAGGACCACAGTTTTCTGGCATATGCAATTATTGAAAGAACAATAAACCATTCAAACAGTTAGGAAGCATGAGTAAACAGTTCCAAATTCTAAAAAAGAATTTCTTACTTAACATCCATCTTTATGGTTGTCTATCTGGACTTCTTAATTTTTCATGTGGTACCTGCAATTGAAAAATGATAATATACATTATACAAATAAAAAATAGGATAATATTGATTAGAAAATCGTCTAATTTTTCTAGTTATGTTCAATACAAATTTTAGATGCAAGAAAAAGGCTTAGGAAATTTATTTAGTTCTTTCTTCTGCCTTTTTGTTTCATAAGAGGCATTTGAACAAACAAACAAATTTCTGTACATAATTAACAAAGAAACATGAAGAAAGACAGAACAATTATGTACCATCCATCAAAAAAATACTAAAAGAAAGACTCTATATTATTGGGAAAAAAAGAGACTCAAATCCATATAGATAAAGATGTCTAAATCAATGATCTCTAAGAAAAATAAGAATAAAGATACTATTTTTAGATAAATTCAGAGACTAACTTCCACCTTCAAATGGAATCGGTCAAAATTAGAATGATTTAGGATAGGGACTCGAAGACCATTCCCGTCGTTTGCAATATTTGACTGATTTTCTCTGGGGAGAGAAAGTGTGGCCGATTCTAGTAGCAGAGAACTTGCCGCGATTTCACCTGAGACGAAAACCGCGTACCATATAGACTGCTTTTGGTACTATCCGTTTGTGTTGTGTTAGTCGCATTTTATAATTTCTAAGGCTCGTCTTACAAGCATCGTCTAATGCTAGACTAAGATCATCGTAGCTTGTTTAAGCCTATATCTTACCATGCGGTCAACATCCACATTTGCGTCACGTTCTCTGAAATTATTCCAATCTCAAATGAAACCAGAGAAAGAGGCATGAATATAAATCATTATATTCTGGGTTTTATCTGCAAGAATCACCACAATCCATAAAACCTCAAATTTCAGATATTCTTGCAAATGTTTGGTTTTAACCTGCTCCTCTTTCCGATTAGCACCACAATCATATTATCAAATTTGACCAGAAAAAATTCAAATTTTAACCCTAAAGTAAGATTCACAAAATCAGGCTAACATTAGTAATAAAGAAATAAAGATAAATCAACAAACTAAAAGTACCTTAGCATACACCACCATAAAACCCAGAAGCTTCTAAAACAGAGAGCGAAAGAGTGTGATCGACAGAAAGACAGAAAATTTGAGAGAGCAGAGAGAAAGATCAGCGGCATGCAATGAAATCAAATCTTAATGAGGACACGTGGGGACAGACAAAAGAACCACGCAAGACTACATATAATGTTAATTTCCTAGTACACCCTTATTCAACTCTACTTTAACGGTACAACTCATACTACTTTTGGTACAATTAAAAGAGTTATATTTTTTTCCTCTTTTTGTGTTACCACGTCTCTATATATTAGAAATAAGATGTCAAATTTTATCACAATAATTTCTTCCTCTTCCATAAAAAGCACTAAGAAATCCAAAAAATATTATCTCGACTATCATCATCATCATTTTATAAATTCTTTTGTTCAATATCTAAGCCTATTGGTAACAAAATAACTAAACTTACGATTCCTCTCTAAATTAGAGTAAGTTTATGAAATCTCCCTTATGACTCATGCCTCTTTACCTTCAAATAAATAACATAACAGTTATTAATACATAAGTGATACTTACAAAGAAGAATTGCTCCATTTGGTAGAATCTATTTGTCTTACTTTCCTTTTAGTCTCAAAAAGAATGTCTCTTTCTTTTTTTAAGCAACTCTTCAATTTCAATTTTTTACCTGAAATGTTTTAAAACACAAGATTAGATGACATTTTGGTCCCATTTGACATAACTTTTAATTTAAGACCACAAGATTGAAGATTCTTTTATAGTTTTTTAAACTTCATGGCAAGTCAAAATATGACAAACAAATTGAAACAAGGGGAGTATTATATAAACAGCGAGACAGAAAACGTGAGCTATTGTTACAGGTAAATAGATGTATTTTCAGCTAAGACAAACACTATTGAATACCTTGTAATAGCGAATCAACTGTGACCTTTTAAGTTAGAATATATGGTATCTAATATTCCGGTTTGATCATCCCTATTATCAACATTAATCATAGTTTTGTGTTTAAAACAAATTACCAACTTGTTCAGGTAATTGTTTAAGACTTTTAAGATGATTGAAGTGTATATTCATTGCTGTAAATTACTATCTAGCGATTACATTAGTGAAATTAGAGAGACCAATTAAAAGTCTTAGGGCTCTCAAGCCATAAACTACCATCAGATATCCATCAACAGGATATTTGATACTTTGAAAAAGTGAGAAAAACAGGGAGAAGTCATGAAGATAGTTCAGAAACTAACCCAAACAGTGGGAACCAAACTTTTTAGCATAAAGGATAGAACCTGCGACCTTCCTTCAAGGCATGCAACACTTTCAATTTTTTTGTCGACATTCCTGTTGCAAGTAGTTTTCAATTTGTTAAAGTAATAGTCACAAATTTTTTTTTCTAAAAGTCACACATTATATTCTACTTTTTTGCTGGATACAAAGTCAGGACAAACAATATCAAACTGTAGTTGAACTACATTCATACAAAGTATACACATCTTAAGTGAATTTTGTGGACATAACCATAAATAACACACATATTGGTCACTAATCTTGTCCAATAAAACTAAGTAATGTAACATTCCAATTGATGATTGGCAGAGGAGTATGTTACAGTAAACCTGATGAGAAAAATAAGAAAATTTGAAATAGTGTAGTGCTTTGTCATACTATCGAACACCTTAGGTGCATCAACATTTAAAAAAGGAGCAGCCAAAATGTTCACCATTAGAGACATGCTCTATTAAGTTTATACATTTTTGAGAACATCGAAACTTAATTGAGATGTATACAAACTTACAGCAAAGGAAGAAGCAACCCAAGATAGAGAAATGTAGTAACTTCTAAAATGTTTGATACAGAAAAAACCTGATGAAATTGAGAGCCACAAAAGCAAAAAAGATTGTAATAGAATTATCGGTAGTACACATAGTTTGATTATGGACAGAGTCGGATATGAGCAAGTATAATGTTATACTAAGGAAAAAGTAAAACAAACTCTTACAATCAAATTAGAGAAGATGAAATATAGTTTAAGAGTGTAATTTGTTTTCCAATATTGAAATCGTAGACCAAGAAATCACCAACTTACGCTATGAGAAATGGAGAAATTGGGCAGATATTTTGAATATGAAGTTCCTACGCTTCATCCCTGCAAAATACGAAGGATCAAAACAACATCAAATTAAATCTAAATTCAGTGCATGAAACATAACTACAACACAAAAACCGAATAGATCAACAAATTGAATGAAAAATCAAACCATTCGAGTAATATATAAGTGGACAAAATAAGACCTAAAATCAAAACGAAAAAATAAAATCAAAGTACCACTTAAATTTTCGAGACAAAACTTATGAGGATAGTGGGAAAAAACCTAAACATCAACGATTGAAAGAAGAAGGTGGAAGAATGACTAAAGTTTCACCGGACATCCAAGGCCTTCTGTGAAGATGAAGATGCACAATTAGGTCACTCAGTACAAAGTACTTTTTTATTAATAAAAATAAATGGGATGGAAAAGATTACCAGAATTCTGTACACGTGATTTGCTCACAAAAGTACACGTATTAGCAGATGGGTCCAATATAAATGAAAAATGAGGTGATAACAGTTGTATCCCACATAGCTAGTAAAAAGACAAAAACACATGTCTAGAAAAGGTGCATACACGTCGTGATGTGATTGTGGGAAATTGCCAGTACAAATACTATTTCCTTGGGTACAACAACATGATGCAGTGTTGGTCCTTTAGAAGTGCCATTTCTAAATAAGGGTAATTAATTAAAAATTAAAAATATTAATGTGGATAGAAAAATTTGAACCACAAATCAATAAGTTATGCACCCCTATTTGTACATACTTATCAATATACTAGAATATTCTTTTTAACCAACCAATACAAATTTAAAAAGATAATTAAAAAAATAATAATATTATATAGAGGTTAGGAAGGGGAGGATGGGTGCATGTGAACCCACTGTACGCCTCTGACTTTAATATTAGTATCGGAGCGAATAAATAAATATTACACACTGTGTGGATAACATTTGTCCCTATAGATTCTTAGCTAGTCACTGAACAAACAAAACGAAAATGGCAGATTCCACCGTACAAATCGGAATTTTAGGCTGTGCTGAAATCGCACGGAAAGTATCACGCGCTATACTCCTTTCACAAACCGCTACTCTCTACGCCGTCGGCAGCCGTTCAATCGAAAAAGCCCAAAAATTCGCCGCCGACAATGGTTTTCCGGCGACGGCGAAAGTGTACGGTAGCTATGAAGAAGTTCTCGACGATCCAAATGTTGATGCGGTTTATGTGCCGTTACCGACAAGTCTTCATATCAAATGGGCTGTGCTTGCTGCCCAGAAGAAGAAGCATTTGTTGCTGGAAAAGCCTATAGGGTTGAATGTTGAAGAAGTGGATGTGATTTTGGCGGCGTGTGAAGCTAATGGAGTGCAGTTTATGGATGGTACTATGTGGATGCATCATCCGAGGACGGCTAAGATGAAAGAATTTCTTTCGGATGCAAAGCAATTTGGGGAACTCAAATCGGTATGTGTGTGAGAGAGTTTTATGGATGATTAATTTGTTGAAGATTTATATGGATTGGTGAAATTGCTTTTCTTATATTACTGTTAAAGTTAGATGATTTTGTTGTTGAAATTACTAAGCTCCCGTTTGTTTGGTCATAGATTTTGAAGTTTGGAAATTGAAAATTTGAGTTTTTGAGGTTGAAATTTGAAAATTTGAGTTTTTTAAGTTGAAACTTGAAAATTTGATTTTTTTTTTAAGTTGATATTTGAAAATTTGAGTTTTTTGAAGTTGTAGTTGTGTTGGGACTTGGGACATGTATTTTACTTGGAAAAGAATTCAAGTTTTACTAGTGAAAGTGAAATTTCTCCAAAAAGCTGGTCTGAACTTGAAAATACTTGAAGATCAGCGAAATCTGACCAAATTTCATGGCTAAACGGATATTTGTTGATAAATTTTCAAAAGTAGATCCAAAATCTATTGCCAAACACTATCTAAGTGTATGGTTGGAGAAGGGGAGTTGGGTAAAGCAATTCTTATCTTTAGAGGAGCACAGGCTTAGCCAAGTTGAGCCGAAGTTGTAGTCCTTGAGGGTTAGTGGATTCCAAAATAGAGGTAGATCCAGAATTTGAGCATTACGGGTTTGAGTTTGGGGATTCTATGACAGTTCATTTGATTTATTGGGTTCAAATCTATTATGTATACTTTATTTAGTGGATCTCTTGACATATAGATATATAGGTTCGAGCCAAAACTACTGAATTCATCCAAATTCATAAGTCATACTCTATGTTTGCCCCTGTAGGGAATGGGTGGAAAATTTGGCTGTTTCCGAACTAAACTTGAATGTTTCATCATGTTGTAAAGGAAGAATAGTTGCAAAAGCATAGATGTTCTTGAGCAAAGTAGAGATAGTTGCTAATAAATCATCATTTTTTGGCTAAATGGTAGCCAGAGGTGTAAAGTATTGTGTATCAAGATTTGTGATTTGGATGCAGTACTTATTTTTTAAACCAAAATGTTGACTGTTTATGACCCCGTTCCCAACTGGCAGGACGGGGTCAGGGATATGTTTACTTGTCCTGTTATCATCCGATTAACGTAGGGGAACAGCTAAACCTTTTAATGCACTTAATGGAGTTGAGAGGCCTTGATCTTTAGTCAAATGGAGGGTTTGTAGGAGTTGAAGTTTGCCAATTTGCACACATTCATGGAATTTGTTATATGTGGTGCAGTGGTTATCCAAACCTTTCGTGGTAGTTCCATCTCTCATTTTATTGTGAAAACTAGATTGTCTGTTTTCTAATGTAATAAGCTCCACATTCCATTCAGTAGGATTGAGCAATGGATTTGAGTTAGTTACCGTAAAACTTCCTTTTATAGATTTTGCATATAGTACCCAGAACTATGGACCTAGTTGCACTAGAGAGCCCCGATATCCCTCTGCCATCATCAGATCCATTGATTATCTTATCGTGTTGCTGTTCTTGTGACAAAAGTGTTTTACATGCTCTCTGCTTTCATTTATACACCCACACTCTTTTGCTGAAGTTGATATTCCACGAGTTCTCTGCAGGTACACACTTGTTTCACCTTTACTGCTGATCAAAACTTCCTCGAAAATGACATTCGTGTAAAACCAGATCTTGATGGTCTTGGTGCTCTTGGTGACGTTGGGTGGTATTGCATTAGAGGAATTTTGTGGGCTGCAGATTACGAGCTTCCCAAATCAGTAATTGCTTTGCGAAACCCTGTGTTCAACAAGGCAGGAGTGATTATATCATGCGGTGCTTCTTTATTGTGGGAAGACGGGAAGGTGGGAACTTTTCATTGCTCTTTCCTAACCAACTTGACAATGGATTTAACCGCTGTTGGAACAAAAGGCACGTTACACCTTCACGACTTCATCATCCCTTTCGAGGAGAAGAAAGCTTCATTTATCTCAGCAGTTGAATCTGGATTCAAAGAACTCGTAACAGGATGGGAGCCAAAACCAAGCGAGCACACGGTCACAACAGACATTCCCCAAGAAGCTCTCATGGTTAGGGAATTCTGTAAGCTGGTTGGAAGTATTAAAAATGAAGGCGCGAAACCTGAGAAGAAATGGCCAACTCTTAGTAGGAAGACATCTCTGGTTCTGGATGCTGTCAAGGCATCGATCGAAAAAGGTTTCGAAGCAGTGGAGATTGTAAGTTGATCATCAGTTCTTCTATAAATTGATGTTTAAGGTTTAAATTGTTAATGTATCAAGTTTGAGCATACTTCTATGGCTGCATCCAATAAATAATTCAACTTCTATTATGAACATGATCAGGTTGTGAACTTTAGAACCTTGAAAACTAATGTAAAATGGTGAAGGTAGGTAACCATATTTCATTAAAATAAACATCCAAATTGAATAATAATAATATATACAATCTTGATAAACAAAAGAATTGGTATACCTGCCCCCTTTTATTACACATTATAGCTTTGTCCTATCAGGCTAGTCATATATAAGACCAGCAGTACGATACAGAGAAGATTAACACGCTTTATGCGCAACTCAAAAAATATCTTTTTCAAAGTAATTTCTTGTCGTATCCATCATGTCTTGTATGATGGTAAAGTAGAACAAATAAAATCTTTATAGAGACAACAACACCAATATATGTGAATTGTGATTCTAGTATTTCACAAACCAGATAGATTAATTTTTGTACATTATCTATAAACTAAGGAAGTCAACATAGTGTTAATTTTTGTAGGGTTGACACATGTTATCAAAAACATAGTGTTTAGTTTTCAGGAGGTTCTTTGTCACAACCCAAAGTACGACGTGACATGGTGCATAGGACCTTGAGAGGTCCTATACAAGCTACTTGACATACATATTTAAGTAGAGATCGTCTCACATAAGAATAGTTTGACATAAAAGCGGAAGTCTAATCATAGTCTTGACAAGCTAATCTAATACATCAAAAGAGTGGTTCGGACGTAACTCATACACTACGTACAACATCTGAAAACTAGAGACATAAGAAAACATAGTAAAGGTGACACGATCCTCGGAACATGAGAAATCACCAAGTCTTCAACGATCAACCAATCAACTAGCCACGAGCGGGAGGAGGAGAAGCATCGGACTCTACATTATTAAACAATGTAGGCACAAGTAAGTATGCATTAGTACATAAAATGTACAAAGTATGAGGAAATGCATAAAAACATGAAACGTGAACATATGAGAACGTACATGATATGCATGATCAAGCTAAATCATAGCTAAAAGCCTTTAAAAGAATTATAAGTCATAAACATGGTCGATTCTAAAACATAATGAAAGCTTTGTAAAACCTTAAGTAACTTAGTTCATTTTATGAGATATTTATCATAAATTGACATAGACCATGTAAACTATAAGATCTACTTAATCTCTTCTACTTATTGCTTTATAATCTACCATTCTTACTTGTTAGGTCTCTAGAGTATAATATTTGGTCATCATAATCTGCGTACCTTTGACCTTTAAATACAAATTCAATTGTTATTTTGAGTCACTAATTTTTAGAAATAAACGAAACGAAAGTGACAACTCATATTAATTTAATTAGAAATTGAATTCCAAGATTTGGATTTTCAAGACTGCCTTTGAGCTACGCAAATGTATACTAGAATTAAGGTTAATTTAAATGGACTCCAACATAATAATTAAGTTTGGCGGATACGATTTTTGTTTGTTTTTCATCAATTATCACTTTAATCACAGTTAAGATATGTTGGTTTGAGGGAAACTTAAAAATAAATTGAACTACCAATATATGATCCCTTAATTATAGGCAAGATAACCCTTCGGGGTGTCCCAGTGGTTTAGGTTTGGGACTTCCATGTGTCTCAAGTTCGAAACCCCTTGCTAGCGAAAGTCTTGGTTTGCCTTCTGGGTCGAGCTCGTCGCACCAGGCTTGCCTAGTGCGGGTTACCTCTCATATGTGGTTTGGGAGCTATTTCATAGGAGCAGAGATTTTACCCTGTGCGCATCACCGGATAGCGGCTGCGGGTTTCCCTTGTCATAAAAAAAATAAAATTATAGGCAAGATATATGTTAAATCATATACATATATTACGTAGTAGGAATTGCACACCATAGTTGGTTTTTAACCTTTTATTTAAAGTTTATTAGTTGAAAATCAAACGTAGAATAACAATATAAAGATGAAGATAAAAAGAATAATATAAGATGATCTATTGTTGTGGAAAATGGTTCTAAGAATGCACCTAAAATTGGTCAATTTGGGTATAGTGGGTCCGGTGAGAAAAAAATACACATAAGATAATAAGAATGGAATAAAAGAACTAATGTTTTAGGGATAAATATGTGCTCAAGACTAGAATGATAAAGCAATTAACTCAATTCATTTATTTGTTAATCAACTCAGTTTGAAATACCTAAATTTAATTTAATCCGTTCATTTTTTTTTTTGGAGACGTCACTAGTAGAATTTGAGGTTCAACTGGATTAATCTATTATCTAAAAGGTCATGTATAACCTATACTATTACTCCCTCCGTCCCTTTTTATATGTTTTCACTTTCTATAAATAGCTGAACTACAAAACTTGTTATTTTATAAAATTTATGCATAAATTAACATATTTTGCCTATTATACCCTTGATAGAGTAGTTAATTAATGAAAAAATCTTTTTGGCCAAAAAATTTAGCCAGAATGATATTTTATCTATGTTATTTTATTTTTTTAAACATTTCCCCCCTTTTAACTTTAATACCTTTTAACTAAAAAATGAAAAAAAGATCAGTTTATTTTAAAATAAAAAAAAAATTATAGATTTTTTAATTTTCTGGCCAAATTCTGGCCAAATTCTCTGGCCATTTAGCACTTCCCTTAATGAATCTTGTCATTTATTAATAAAGTTGACTTAAGAAAACATTAAATAAGAGTAGAATGGTAAAGTTACATCATTTCTTAATGCAAATGTAAAGTAAAAAGATGACATATAAAAAGAGACGGAGGGAATAGAATTCATGTGAAAATACTAATTTCAAGAAATTAATTAGAGCATAATAATGACCAAACATCTAAAAGTGCAAACACCAAAAAGAAAGTTTTGGGTTCTGTAAACTGATCAATAATTAAAAAAATAATTTTTTTAAAAAAAAAAATCACCAATTGCACTGCACACCACCCCACATGCCCATATTTTCCCTTGTTACAAAGCTGCCGTCTAGGCGGACGTGCATAGAACATGAGCATACACATCAATTCAAATTTAAAATGAATTATAAGTAAGTTACAATCGAACAAATTGTAATTAATAATTTACTATATCACATAAATTGAAATTGAATAAAAATTACAAATCATATTGAATTATTTTATACCTTGGTATAACATTATTATAATTATCGAATCAAAATTTTTAATGTCGTATCATATTGTAACTAGGGATGGATATTCTAGGATGGAGCAAGAGTACGTGTTCATTCGAAATCTCGACAGAAATTTACATCGTATACATAATAGAGTATATTTTTTGAAGTGTATCATTAATATAAGATTACAAGTTGGTTCAATACTTGAGTTCAAAATTCACCTTAATGTTTCAAATTCAAATCTCAAATATTGTAGGGTATACCATAAAGATAATGTAAATTAAATGATAAAATATGATTATTAAATAATAAATAAAAACAAAATGAGAAGAAAATATTAAGATAAATATATAATTGCACCAAATTAATCGTTAAAATACACATATAAAATGAGATTTTTTATCGTTATCTAACGATGATAAATATAATAAAATTTAAATAATAACTAACAATAAATGCATAATACATAGACATGACCCTTAACTTGGCTTTAACGGACAACTATGCCCTCCAACTTTGAGTGTGCACAAGTAGACACTTAAACTTGTATAAAATTGAATAAGTAGACACACGTGTTCTGCATGGCATAAGACACATAGAATGCCATGTAGGACGATTATGTTAATTTGTTCAGTTTTATACAAGTTTAAGTGCCTACTTGTGCATAGTCAAAGTTAAAGGTCATAGTTGTCAAGAAAAACAGATATTCAAGAGTTTAACATATTAATATTACTTATTATTATTATGCATGGAGGACATGCATCAACCTCTAGAAATTTCACTTTTTATATATTTACTTCATAAAGTAGACTCGTGTATATCCTTAATTGGCCAACTAGATCATAGATTATATTAGGCTTGCTAATTTTATTAGGACGGTGATTCACATCTCTTGTACCAAAAAAGTAAATAAATACTAAATTAATTAAGATCTCTTTTTATGTCAAATCTTTGGGATTAGTTTATGATTTAAATTAATTAATTAAGTTGAGGGTAAACACTTTAATCTAGAAAACACGTAATCAAGATGCTAATAATCGTTTTTATTCTGGTCTCCCACCTACATGCACGCTCAAGTCCCATTGTTCGAAGAGTGATAAAAATTTAATGAATTTTAAATATGTAACGTGAAAAATTAAAATTTAAAATTTGTTAATTATTTTTTAAAACGAACTGAAAAAAGAGAGTAAACCAAACAAGGTGAGTAACTATGTAAGGGTGACAAATAATCCCATGAAAACACGACTCGCTCAATCCACTCAAATTTGAGCGGGTAATTCATCTCATTTTGATCGGTCCAAATTTGCCTAGTAAAAAGTTGGGCAAATATGTTGTCTAATTTATTAAAGTAAAAGTGAATTAGAAGGAGTACTTTTAAAAGATATTTTTCTTATTTGATATAATATATATAGACATAGTAATAATAATTAAAAAAAAATACTAGTATGTATTTTCATAAATAACTAAAAAGTAATTAAAATTTAGTAATGATGGAACGAGTTAGGTTAATTATGGCCCATCTGGAAGGTTAATTCAAATAACTTAAAAACTCATTCATTTACTAACTCAATCCATTTTGATTCATTCAAATTTCATCTAACCTGCCCATTTAATGCCCTAATAAAGCTAGAACAACACAATGGATTAAAATAAGATTGCTTATTTCACGAAACCAAACGGCCTCTAATAATACTTCCTTCATTTCAAAATAATTGAATTATTGGGTGTTTCACACCCTTTAAAAAAAGAAGATTAAGACATAAATTAGACATTGCTAATTATTATCAAATTAATTTTTAGAATAACTAAACATTAATCATAATAATTAATTTCAATACTAACTAAATTTTTAATTCACTTCTAATATAAATTCATTACGTGAAAATAACTAAAATATTTTCTATTGAAACCAAATTTTTAGAGGTAATAGAGACAACTTTTGGACGTAAAACCTTAATAAAAATGACTAAAACATTTTCTGCTGAATTATATCAATTGACTCTTCATCCATGATAGTATCGTGAACCATCTCAATTGAATCTTCAAAATTAAAATTTATAAAATTATGTGTAGTGCGTGGCACCTTGGTTATTGAGTGTTTATATTTTCTCTCTTCTTATACTTGTTAAATATTTTTTAATTTAATTTTTTTATTTGTCAATTTTTATAAATAAACAAAAGATGATATTTTCTTTCATATTATACTTCAATTTATTAACATCTCTGAAAAATATATTAAGTAAATATGTTTGAGACTCTATCAATTAACATGGGTAAAATGGTAAATTTATTATATCAATCATTATTTTTTAATTGGTGTGTTAAGTCAAAATTTAACAAATAAATAGGAGGTGGAGGGAGTATTACACATAATCAACCTCGGTAGTATAATACTCTTTTTTCGATTTATTTTTACTTATCCACTATTTTAAAAGTAACTTTTTATTTTTATTTGAACTTTTAGCATATCAAAAAAAGATTAATATTTTTTTTTTCATGTTCTACTCTATTCATTATTTATTTATTATCCAAATCATTTTTTAAGACTTAGTATTGAATATTAATTAACATAAATAATGTGACAAAATAGTCATGTCAATCATTGTTTTCTTAATGGACATGTCAAATCTAAATAGGAAAACTTACAGAAATCTCACTAGTTTAGAAACTAATTACTTACTCTCTTTGTCCCTAATTACTTGCCCATTTTTCCTTTTATAGTTGTCCCTAATTACTTGTCCATTTTGACAAATCAAGAAAGGACAAATTCTTTTTACCTATTATACCCTCAATTAAATGACTAATTATTTTGAAAACTGTAGAACTTTTCATCCACTTCATAATTAATAGGGGTAAAATGGTAAACTCACTATGTCATTAATTATTTTCTTAATATGTGTGTCAATTCAAAAGTGGACAAGTAATTAGGGACTGAGGGAGTATTAGATAAATGTTAGTTTGTAATATTACAAATCTTATCAGATTTTGATGTGTTCAGATACGCCCAGATACATGTATATCGGGATACATGAGATCAAATTAGATGTAATTTGTTTTATATACACTATATCCAAGTGGATTCACATGTATTTTGATACATAGACAAATCTTGTTCGCCTCCCTCCCATCTCGCTCACCACTCCCCTATGTATCTAGTATCGCAGATACATATGCATCACACTAAATACATACACACAGTGGTGGATCTTGGATTTTAAGGTTGAGGGTGCTCGAGTCAAAAATGTAAAAAAGATATGTTAAACATGAGATTTGAACTCGGGTTCAACAACACAAAAAGAGCCTAAAGCACCCACCCAAGAGTCAATGGACCAGTAAGATCATTTGGTCATTAGGTGCTCTATGTTAATTTTATACAAATACCTCTTAATTTCCACACACACACTTTGAGACGGGGTTAATAGGTGCTCGAGCACCCGCAGGACACTATGTAGGTCCATCCCTGCATACACATATTTCTTGTGTGTATATGATGTGATTCACATGTATCTGGGATACATGACTATGTGGCTCACCTCTCTATTCATTTTAGTGTATCTGATAGCAAAATACATGTATCTAGATATATTTTTCTCAATATATGATAACAAACTCTTAATTAATGATAAAATACGTAATTATTTGAAAGTATATAAATAAAATTAGTATTATAGTATAAATATATGTTTAATAAGATAATTTTCCTTAGATATGATAAATAAAAATAAACGGAGAAAATATTTCCCGTGGTCCATATAGTTGTACTTTAAATTATTTACATAACTCTTACCAAAGATATTTATAACTTAAAATTATTGACATAACTCTTACCAAAGATATTTATAACAAAATACTATTGTAAGCTAGTTAGCTAGTTCTTTTTCTTGGTGTGTAGTAGATATTATTGGGATATGTTTTATAAAGTCATAAAGTAGTACTAATCAGAAAATATTAAATTGGCTCGATCTTTAATTACAAGGTGGGACTTGTACTAGTTAGAAAAGAGTTGTCAACTTATTATAATTCGAAATGCACAAATCCTAAATAGGATTGTCATTTTCTATTGTTTGATATATTTTTTATTGGCTGGTGTTTCCTAAGAAACTTGAATTGATAACAATAGTATATTAACTTCAATCATAATTATTCAAAATCATAAATTTATATTATGTTCTATCAAACTTTTGAAAGATAAAATATGCTTATAGTATTAATTATTTTTGCAAGTTGACATGTTTGATTTTTCTTTTAGATAAACTAAGTGTTTTTGAATAACTTTTCCTTGCAAGTGCTTTTGAAATTTTAATTGTTGTAATTTTATTAAGAGTACTTTTGAAATTGATAAGTCAAATCTAAACGACTAATTTTATTTTAGCTAAATATACTTTTTTTCAAAAGCATATATAAGACAATTAATTAACTTTTCTAAAGTGTCATTTAAAGGATATACTCTTTGCTTTTGTCTCATTTTTTCATTTTAGTTTTCGGATAGCAAAGGACAAAAGAAAGGTCATTGTTACATTAAAAAAATAGTCCATTTGCTTTAACCATCAAATGTTACACTAGTACTTATTGAAAGTTTTTTTTTGATATTAAAATTCATTTAATATCTATAAATTATCTATCGTAAAATTCAATCGGTATCCTGTTTTATAATTCAAAATTATTAAACTTAAATTTTAAATTCCCCTGTTACAACTCCTAACTTCATATTTTATTCCAAGAGATTGTTGCCTTAATGAACTTTAACATTTGAGTTTACACTTCGGAAAGTCTAACGAGGCTTCTTTGTGACTTGTTTTTTATTTTATATATTATATATATGTCATTTAAATATTTTGATTTGTTATTATAATTATGATATTTTACATAGTTTTCAAATATGTAAATTTTCTCTTTAAGAATGTAAAAATTCTCAATTCAAATTCATAGTCATTCTGTAACAAAACATTCCAACAACATAATCAGTAATGTAACAAAATGTTTCAACTAGTATAATTAGACTATACAACATGATAGCATGAACCTTAGTAAAATTATTTAAGATGCGAATAAACTAACTCAGATAATGTGAAGTGGGAACCTATGTAGACTTTTATATATATATCACATGAATTAGTAATGTAACAAAATGCTTTAACTAGTATAATTAAACTATACAACATGATAGCATGAACCTTAATAAAATAATTTAAGATGCAAATAAATTGACTCGGATAACGTGAAGTGGGAACCTATGTAGACTTTTATATCACACGATATTGCACATAATTCTAGAAGTTGCCTTTTTGTTATACCAATGAATTGCCTCCTACTAGTAAACAAGCTGCCTATTTAAGCAGCATCTTTGATCTCCTCTTTCACCACATTTACTCAATAATTACACACAGAAACACACACAATATCATACTCTTATTTTTCAATCATGTCTTTCACCTCAATTTATGAGGATTTCACTTGGTGGATGTTTACTTTACCACCTATTCTTGAAACTCAAAACTTTTTTACCCTTTTGATTCCGACTTTTGTTGTCTTTATGGTAATTACCATTTTCACTTGGGCTTTTACCGCCGGTGGCCCGGCTTGGAAAAATGGGCTGAACTCTATGGGCCGGGTTCCAATTCCGGGGCCAAGAGGTCTTCCCATTTTCGGTAGCTTATTCAACTTGAGCCATGGCTTGGCTCACCAAACCCTAGCTTTTACGGCTTCGGCTTATGGTGCCACACAAGTCATGGCTTTTAGCTTGGGTTCAACCCGGGCTGTTGTGTCATCTGACCCAACCATAGCCCGGGAAATCTTGACCTCCCCACATTTCTCAAACCGACCAGTTAAAGAATCAGCTAAACAACTCATGTTTAGCCGGGCCATCGGGTTTGCACCCGATGGGACATATTGGAGGCTCTTGAGGAAAATTGCGTCGTCACATTTCTTCGCTCCTAAACGAATTTTTGCCCATGAGGGTGAAAGACAACTAGAATGCAACTCAATGTTAGTGTCTATAGCCAAAGAACAAAACATGCATGGGTTAGTAACTATAAGAAAACACCTTCAATTTGCTTCACTTAACAACATTATGGGAATTGTATTTGGGAAAAAATATGAAATGAATATTGAAGAAAATAAAGAAGCTAAAGAGCTTCAAGAAATTGTGAATGAAGGATTTGAGCTATTGGGAGCTTTTAATTGGTCTGATCACTTGTCATGGCTGAATTATTTTTATGACCCTTTTACCCTCAAGGAACGTTGCGCGGCGCTTGTCCCTCGTGTCGAATTCTTCGTTAAGAAGATGATTCAAGAGCACAAAAATGAAAATTCCAAAAAGATTTTAGAAGCTCGTTGTGATTTTGTTGATGTTTTGCTAGCTTTAAATGGTGAAGAGAAGCTACATGAGGATGATATGGTGGCTATTTTGTGGGTTAGTATATGTTACGTAATTATGTATAGACTTTATCAAAAAAATATTACGTTCTTATGTAAATAAGTTTTAAGATCTATATTCGATTTTGGCTTTAGGTCACTAATTCTTTTTTCTCGTTCCAGGAAATGATCTTTCGGGGCACCGATACAACAGCATTACTAACAGAATGGGTCATGGCTGAACTAGTCCTAAACCAAGAAATCCAAGAAAAAATTCATAACGAGCTAAAAACTATAGTAGGAAAAAATGAAAATGTAAGAGATGCTCATATTTCCAAATTACCCTATCTTCAAGCAGTAATAAAAGAAACATTACGATTACACCCTCCGGGCCCACTCTTATCATGGGCCCGTTTAACCACGTCCGACGTCCACCTCAGCAACGGAATGATTATTCCGTCCAACACGACCGCGATGATCAACATGTGGGCCATCACACATGATCCTAACGTCTGGGATAACCCGTCCACGTTTAAGCCAGAGAGGTTCTTGAAATCCTCGGGAGGGATGGATTTTGATGTGAGAGGTAACGATTTAAGGCTGGCACCTTTTGGAGCCGGACGGAGAGTTTGCCCCGGGAAGAATTTAGGGTTGGTTACCGTGAGTCTATGGGTGGCTAAGTTGGTGCAACAGTTCATTTGGGTTGAAAATGAGACTCATCCTGTTGATCTTAGTGAAGTGTTGAAACTTTCTTGTGAAATGAAATATCCACTTTCAGCTAAGGCTATTCCAAGAATTGTTGATTAGGGTTTTGAAGTACTATTCGATCGTCAGTGTAAATAATGTTTACATGATCATCAGGTTATAGTTACCAGTCGTGACAGATAACCTATCTTATTTTCAAGATTACAAATCTCATATTTTAAGAAGGTTCACCTGTAAATATCCTTTGAATGACCTGATAGTGTTAAAAATGGTTCACATTGACGATGTGTTATACTACTATATGTATGTATGTATACTATTTCTAAGTATTTAAAGAAAAAATAAAGTTGTTGGATGATTATGACTAATGTAATAAGTCGTTAGTTTCTTTGTCCGGCTACAAGGTTGTATTAATAGTCTAATATTGTTATATTTTATACTCTCTTTTTTCACTTTTGTAATTGTATGAATGATCAATTTGGAAAAGTATATTATAAATAAATAAAACATGGTACCTGTGTTTTTTGTTATACTGTTTTTATTTTTATTTTGAGGGGTACTTTTTATTTTTACTTTTCTTTCTTCATACTTCTTAATTTAATTTCCTTTGAATTCTTGTTTTTTTTCTTTGGTCAAGCGTAGAATTAATTTAGTAAAGCTAAATTTTGTCCGTACAATAGTTATTAATTCCGTGATAACTTCAAATTTAGAAATCTAATATGTCATATAACTATCAAAATTTTAATTATATCACATAAATTAAAACAAATAAATTGTACAAACTTTTTTCCCAAAGCGTGTAATGTACCACCTCAGAATTAGGCGGAAAGATTATAAATCAAATAGCTGTCTTTTATTGGAAATTGAGTCATGAAAAGACCTTAATTAGTTCATATGCTTTTTCGTAATCTTTAGCAAAATAAAACAAAAAGTTAGTCCTATAAGAATACATATTTAATTGTTAAATTGAGTCTTTGAGAGTGATTTGATCATATTAATCAACATATAGTACATATAAATTAAGAGGAATATATAAAGACACGTATCGTTTGTTTGAGACATTCATTTTAGAACGAGTTATAATACTTTTATTAGAAACAAATCAAAGAATTAATATTTAATTAAACGTCATCTAATGTTGTTTTGGGGTGGGGGCATTTGAGTACAAAATAACGTATGAACGATAGTCAGAACTCTAATGCGATTTAATACCGGGTGAGAAATCAGAAAAAATATCTTGAGCTTTGAGGTGAGCTTTCTCCGTCTCAAATTATCAATCATTTTAACTTAAAATAATTATCATTTTAAATTTAAAGTTGATAATTATTTTTGTGTTACTTTTAATATGAATGAGAATACAAGTATTTAAGAGGGAAAAAATTAGTCTAGTTTTATTAAATAAAAATAATTTAACCTTGTCTATCTTAAATATATTCGGATTGTTTTTCTTTTTGTTTCTCACCTAATGCGTGCCCACATTAGAACTTAACTAAATCTGAATTCACGTCGAGAAGTCTCACATTGAAAGGTAAAGTACTTCCTAACAAACACGACTTTAAAGGACCCATGTTTTAGATCAGAGGTGAATATAGTATTTATATTTTAAACAAAAATTAAATAATTAATTAATTGTGGAAGTTATTTGTTCGAGAAGATTATGGATCTTTAGGACTTTGAATAAAACTTGTTCAAACTTCAACACCCTTATCTGAAATTGATGACCAAGGAACATGTTCTTGACCTAACAAAAGCTACGTACCTTTTCACAATAATTTACAACACTAAAAGGTGGAACACTAAAAAAAATAAAATAATTTAGAACATCAAAAGTTTGAAAAATTATTATTAGAAAATCTACAAAGATTGATGTTTGGACTATAAATTGACACACCTCTCGATAGTAAATACATGATCATTGATTAAGTATAATTAAATATTTGATACGGATAATTTTTTATTTCTTCCGTACTAACATAACATTAAGAGTTGTTTGGTGTGAGGTATGAGGTATAAGGTATAATAATTTATGATCGCATCATTTTTGTCATAATTATGAAATAAGTTATCTTGTATACATGAATTATGATTGATGAAATAACTTATTCTCGACCAAACGAATCGTAAAATTTACTCTTAACGACTAGAGGGAGGAAGCAGTAGGATAAGAGGGGAGCACCGACTATATGTTATTATATGAATAAAGACAAAAATCTCACATTATTTATATTAATTAAATAATTTACAAAAATAACAAAATAATAATACTTTAATAATAATAATCCAGATTTTAAGAAATTGGTCGGCTAAGAAGAAATTGGGCTATAGAATTGATAGGTGTTGGTTGATTTGCCTGCATTTATGTTCTTTGCCTCAAATTTACCCAACATTTTATTAATAAATTTAATAATATATGTGTTTCAAAGTCAAAATTAATAGAAAAAGGAGAAGAAAAGAACGTTTGAAGAGAGTTGATTTTAATTAGATTTGAAAAAAACATTAAAAGAGCATTTAAAGAAATTCATGCATGCATGCAAGTGATTAGTGAATGTCAAGTCTCGTAGATAAAATTGAAACAATACATAAAAGATTAGCATAGCTCTGACTCGACAAAAGGATGACAAGTAAATAAAAAATATTCCAAACTTTTAATTAAAGATTTTTCATATGTGAATGACCTGTTGATTTCTAATTAGCAGTAAAAATGAGAAAGAAAGTTTTTTTGAAAAAATATCTTTTAAAATAAGGTGAAAATTCAGATAGCCAATCAATTAACAAATCAATTTAGTTGTCTTTAAATTTTGTTCACATTTTAAATCTAAAATAGTATTCATCTTATACTAAGAGGAGGGGCGGGATTATTGGGAAATATGCATTATTAGAAGGGAGAATAGACAAACAATGTCGTTTTTTATCGCTTATTAATACCAATAAAGTGAAAAATCCAGATAGTCAATCAAGTGATTAGCTTCATAAACGAAAGATAACCTCTTTTCTTCAGTTATGTCTCATGATAAATTTTAGGAATGACAAAGATAATATCCATATTAGTGCTCTATAGCTATCGTTTAGATAATGGCGCTCCATAGCTATATTTATGTTTGCTATGGAGTTTCTCTGATTTGTATAATTCGCTAAATATGTCCAATTTATATACAAATTGATCACTTCCGTATAAATTCATTTATACATTTGGATAATTCATATATGAAACGTTTCAGTTTTTTCTATATTTGTACATGTATATAGTTCGTCTTTAATTATGATAATTGCATTTGTATATTAGATGTAATTTGTAAATGTATATGTGTTTTTTGTTAGGCTTATCCATTGTATATATACATATAGCTGTAATTTGTATATGTATATGTTCTTTGTATAAGTGTATATATGGAATTTGTATGCAAATAAGAAGCATATATTAACTGTAATTTGTACAAGTATATGTTCTTTTGGTTGTGTTTTCAATTGTATATGTATATACGTATCATTTGTATATAAATAAAAATCTGTATTAGTTGAATCTATATATGTATATGAAAGTTCATGAAAAAAACTTAAAATATACAGGTACAAAGAAAAAAAATATAAAATTGATTTCAACACGTTTTTTGCGCCTACCTTAAATTTTGATGGCACAATCAGAAGGGTAATGGCGAAAATTTAAAATTCAAAAATAATGTGGGTGAGAGAAAACTAATCTGGGTGAGAGATTTTAGGAGAAAAATGATGTAAATGGGGAGAGAAAAGAACCGCTTTGATTTGTATATCTCTTTATATAATTATAACTTTCGTTTTTATTTATTTAAGTTAAATACAAAACAATGGATTCTGCCGGATGGCAAATTATGTGGAACAGTAGCTCCGAATTGGAAATAAAGTAAACTATAGTTGTAACATTTAATATGAATTAAATGTTGCTATTTCATACAATTTTTTCTTTTTTTAGCCCATTAACCGGATTGAACAGGTCCACTAAAGGATGGATATGAATCGGCCCAAGTAGATATAGTTACATTTTAATGTTCTAATGTTTTTGGGTGATTTAATTTGTAAACAACAAATTTATAGATTTTATATATTCTCTTGTTTTTCCTCTTGTATATTAAAGAGATTATTCATATTTTATAAACTGTAAATTTAAGTAGCGTAAAGATACTACGATCGACGAGCCAACTTTAGAAGTCGTATACTATTGACATATAATTTACTCATCAAGTTATATATTCTCGTGGAAAAAATTTATGAAATAAGACCAAACAATAATTAAATATACCTATTCATTTAAATTACTGAATACGCCTCTGATCATAACAATTAATTTCAGTTCAAGTACTATATATACACAAGCACACTATTGAATATTCCACAAATTCTACTTATAATAATTAGGATAATTCCCTTCACTAACATAACTATATAGTATATATTAGTAATTTATAATGAAAGGAAAAATTAGCATGGTGGCATGTGATGAGGAGGAGGCAAAATATGTTCTTCTGGCTTGTGGCCATTTTTCACTAGAAATACAGTCTGCATTCCCCATGTAAGATGTCTCTCAATATGACAATGCATAGTCCAAACTCCTATAAAAAATAATAACTAAAGAAGAAATTAGAATTTAAGATTATATATATACTATCGATGCATATAACTTCATTTAATTCGATAAGTAAAAATGATAATGCAAGTAGTTAAGGAAAGGAAAAATTCTTTTGGCCAGAAAATTTGGCTAGAATGGTATTTTATCTATGTTATTTTTATCTTTTTAAATATTTTTACCCTTTTAACTTTAATACCTTTTAATTAAAACATGGAAAAAGACCAGTTTATTTTAAAATTAAAAAAATATTATAATTTTTTTAAATTTCTGGCCAATTTTTTTGGCCATTTAGCATTATCCAGAAAGGAAAATGTATATACACTGATTGTACTCCTAACATAACTTAACAACATTATTTATGAGATGTATTTGACTAAATTAACATAATCTACTCATAGTCAAATGTAACTTTAAAAAGAACATGAATAACAATAACTTCTTAATTTTTTATTTTTTTTAAAATCATTTTATTTTTGTATCAAATTGTGAACGGCTAGAAAAT